ATGGTGAACGTGGAAGGTGACAGCCCGAAGAAAAAGCCAGACACAGTGCACTATTATAACAAGACTGAGGTGGGAGTGGATGTCCTGGACCAAATGAGCAGACAATACTCCACTAGAGCCACCACCCGCAGATGGCCACTCGCCATCTTCATATTGGACCTGGCTGGCGTCAATGCATACATTCTTTACCGGAACTGCACAAAAGCAAATATTACTAGGCGCAACTTCCTTCTGCAGCTGTGTAAGGTATGTGACCACATGCAAATGAAAGAGGCAACTGAGACTGTGCCACTGCCCCTTCCAACAAAGGCAGAGCAGCCTCAGGAGAAGCGAAGGCAGTGTACACTGAAAATGCACCACAATAAAAACAAATTGTGCATCAAGTGCTGGGGACTTGTGTGCAGTCAGTGTACTGTCAAGGTCTTCAGTGTTGGTAGTGAGTAAGCTGTGTGGCAGTACTTGGAGCGGAATAGGCCTGTGGTTCCCAAACATTTCTGACCAAGGCTCTCTTTCTTTGTAAATATTTCTGAATTCATGTTCATTTCTCGAGAAAGCAAGGAACAATTATAATGGTAATGTTCAATGTTTATGAGCAGTGTTTATTTTTTATCTGTTTGACAGCTTTTTCATATTTTATTACATGTATTTTTCCATTGATAGTTTAACTGAAGGGAATTTATATTGTTATATTGCTAAAATAAAAGAAATCCTAGTGGGGCAAAATTCATGAAATTCGTCTAAACAAAACGCCCACCTGCCATCCCTTTTATCTCCTCCCGCACCTGTTCCTCCCCCCATCCCACATTGGCCAGAACAGAACACATGAACCTTTGCGACCGGTCAGGGTCGCCACATAGCCCCCACCCAAGAGGGTTAGTGCCCCCACAACCCTGGCCTGCCGGTGCCAGGCATGCGCACAAGCACACGTGCAGCAACCGTTGTAGAACTGACGTCGTCATCAAAGGTACTCAACACTGGCACGAGAGAACGACATTCGAGTGCCCGACTATCTGAAGAAATGGCGGCGTATGAACGAATTATTACTAAACTAGTGGAAAGAATTTTACAGGAGTTTGAAAAAACACCAAACGATCCGAACACCAATGCAGTCAGTGTTCTGGTCTGGCGGACCGAATCCCTGTTGAAGTGCCTGTTAAGACGTAATTTAGATCAAATACCAACGATTCACTACCTCGATCCTGATGGCAGTTGTTCTTTGCTTGCAGAGTTTATTTTAGAAATTATAAAAATGTTGTCACATAACCACATAATGGCCAGAATTAATGAAGAGAATATCACTAATGTACAGCTTCAGTCCATTATATCTGAAACGCTCACTGATATCTTTTCTTATTTCATGGACGACGAGGAGCTAAGCGAATTACAACGTGCCGCCATAGTATACCTTACAGACCTGATTTTTAAATACCTTCAAAGCGTATTAGATCATACTCTGGGCAGTATGAAAGACTCGGAGTCATCTATAATTTGTCCTATGGTTACGCATAAGATGCTAAATGCGATGATTGGCCATGTCTGTACTGTGTTAGTGGGGCTACCTAGCACGGTAGACGAGCTGTACAGACCAGAAACGCGCAGGGAAAGACAATTCAATTACCTTAAAAAGCCTATCTTCCTTGACTGGAGAACTTCTGGTATTTGGGTCGAACTACGCATATGGCAGTGTCACATGACAGGAACTCTTTTGACAGATGTGCCAGAGCGTGAGTATGAGCTGCTACAACTGGACTGTTCTCTGAAGATTAAAGCTCTTGCTGAAGACATATCTCAGTTAACTGCTGAACATGCTCAGAGACTGAGAGACTCTAAAGATGCAGGACAAAGCCCAGAGGACACAGAGTACCCAGTGTGGCCCATAATGACTGTGGCCAGCATTGAGGTCAAGATAAAAAACTTCTTTGCAAAGTTGTTTGCCAGAACATTAATACATCGCATCCTGGCTCAGCTGATGGAAAACCATCATGAATCTTTCGCCGAAAGCAGGGAATCAATCCTGTCACTTATGGATGATATTTATCCTCTGATTTTCACAAAGAAGGGTGAAGAAGATGTTTTTTTTCTGAGCAGACGTTATTACACTCCACACCCTGAATTTTGCAAAGTTGTAATAGCACTTAGTGGTGTATTCTATAAACATATTACGGGTAAAGAAAAGCCAACGGATTGGAAAGTCAGTCTCCCAGAGTCACTTGCTGCCCTGTATGCTGACATAGAGGACAAAATACACACTTTCGTGACACTGATGGTCTGGTGGATGATGAGTCAGGCCAGGTACCACAGTGAAAGTATTAGATTTAATATTTTGGTAGCTTTGGAGTTACCAATACGTTATGAGTCGTCAGAATGCGAAGACGCCTCATCTTTAGCAACTGGTGAGCCGTCGGAATGCGAAGACGCCTCATCTTTAGCAACTGGTGAGCCGTCGGAATGCGAAGACGCCTCATCTTTAGCAACTGGTGAGCCGTCGGAATGCGAAGACGCCTCATCTTTAGCAACTGGTGAGCCGTCGGAATGCGAAGACGCCTCATCTTTAGCAACTGGTGAGCCGTCGGAATGCGAAGACGCCTCATCTTTAGCAACTGGTGAGCCGTCGGAATGACAG